TTCCATTTTGGATTTGTACTTTTTAATTTTTGTATGAAAAAATATATATATATAAATAATGTAATGAAAATGTCCACACTCTACACTTCAACAAAATTGAAACTTTTCAAAAATAACAAAACAAGCATATTTTTATATATATTTTGTATTATTTTCTATTTGTTTGGGCACATTCAGCGCGAGTTCAGTGACTTTACTCTGTAACCACTACAGTGCCTCTATCTTCACAAGATTTAATTGTTAGAGGCAGAGATAACATCGCTGTATTTTGAGCCCGAAACAAGCCAATTTGCCTATTTTATCAGAGTTGCTGCATTATTATCAAGCTGCACTGGACTAGAGACACAAGTGCGAGGAAGTAAAGATATTATTGTATCAAAGGCAAAGTTTGAGAAACTAATTTATAAAGTTCTTCGCGTGGCTCTTATAAATTGCATAAAAGTTCTATAAAATAAGTTAGCTTTATTAAGAAGAGATTGCTAAATTAAAAAAATACCTTTAAGAGTTACAAAGCGTAGAATATCAAGAGCAATATTAAATTTTCAAGAACTATATCTTATATACCAGAAAGGATTATTATACTATGTATACGCATTTTTAAAAGTTACAAACTTATAATATAGATATAAATATTTAATTTTCAAAAATACTAGAAAAGATTACAACACTAATACTATAAAAGTTAATGTGGAAGCGCCCTAATTTGAACTTGAAATCCTTCTGTGAGCTTAGTAAGCAATTAAGATCAAATTATTTCGTAAGATTTCGACAAACAAGCATATGACTTGGATAGAATGCCCTACACACACATACATATTGTATTTCTTTTGTCACCTTTTTGTATTCTTATCATAATGCAAAATTAAATAGCCTTTATAATGGCTCAAAGTAAAACCCGCCTGCAATAATTGGAATTATCTCTCTGGGAGCATCTACTATTGTTTTAGGCATAGCTCATTATTTCAGCTGCCTTCGCTGCGAGATGTTCTTGAGCGGACAAATATGGTATTTTTCTACTAGGTCCTTGAGGGTTTTGAATTGGTGCGAATAGAGCAGCAGCATTGGTAGTGGATTGCGCAGATCCTTGAGATTATGTGAAGAACGCAGCAACTCTCTATCCTTGTCTTTTCCTGAATGAGCTGCCACTTGATTATACGTCTTTTAAATTTGTCGCCTGTGTGGTAGTTTAACTGTTGATCAATTTTGTGACCACAGCTTGTAAAATGTATGATGCAAGCAGGGTATCAAAAAAACAGGGTCTCAACAGGATCATGCCAAAGTGCGCCGACAAATTGTCGAACAAACAGTTTCGCATGTCGAGACAATTATACAATCTCGTTAAAAAATTGATTAGAGTAATAATTATAATGTTAGCTTAACAAATTGTATAGTATAATAATTACCACAAATTCCACAAATATGTGTTAACAAAAAGTTAAAACAAAAGCATCAAATCTAATCTAATAACATACTTCAAGTCAATTACACAACAGTTTTCTAAACTGTAAAGTGGAAAGTGTAAATTGCAAGTCTTAAAATCACTTTTTTTTTTTTGGTTTATGTAAGTTAAATATTAGAAAAACTCTCTCATCACGAGTCTCTCGAGTATAAAGTCTGTAAATATTTGCCAGAAAACGAGTATCATAAATTATATATGCCCAGGGAGCAGTGGCTTAAGTTGTTCTAATTATTTTACAAGCAGCTGTCAAAAGTATTTAAGTAATTTATTTATTTTGCCTTAAGGTGCTTATAGTCAGTCTGTCTATGTTAATGTCACATTTAATAACCGACCTCTCGCTGGCGATGATGGAGCACACCACTGTAGTTGAAGGGAAAGAAAGTGCTTCAGTCTTTATCTAAACAAGACCATTGCAAATGTCTTTGCATTCCAAATAATAACACAGACATATTCCCAGATAATGTCACATCACAGGTTCAGTTCAAGATAATGAACAGCAACAACAATGCAGGCCAAGTGCGAAATTAATGTTATCAAGTCGTCGACACAACATGGAAATTATGTTCGTCAAACACACACACACAAACACACACACACAAACACACACACACAAACACACACACACAAACACACACACAAACACACACACACACAGACACACACTCCTAGAACACACAGTTGAAATCGTCTTATCTGAAAGTCAGTCAGCAAATGCCTTATAGATGAATGGTGCCTACCTTAATTGCATTGGCCATAAAGAGAATCAACGTTTATTGGCTTCAGGCCGACTTTGCACTTGGCTAACGCGTGTTTCCCTAGACTTTAGTGTACCGTCTCGGTGATTAAATCTGTCAAGATGTAGCACCACTTGCGTATTCAAGAAGCCATATATATATATACGAACTTTCGTCTGGCCAAGCAAATTCTTGCGGTACTCAGACGAAATTAAGTCTTTCAAGTGGGTATTTTTATAAGGGGGGATTCATAAAAAGGCTTCAATTTCTAGCCATATAAATGATTATATAACGTTATTATAAGATTGGAAACTTGTTATAATTCATTGTTTCGATTAAGATTTGCTGCAGACAGAGAAAGTTGCAAAATCAAACTGAGATAGACAACAAATATATATATATAAATATATATAAATCAAGCTACGTAAAAAGCATGCGTCAATGATCCATAAATTAAATGGATAAATCATATATAATAGTAATAAATGTCACTTGTATGGTTCAACTGTATATATGTATATACATATATATATGTATATTTTGCAAATGAAACTTCAGCCATATTTATCTAACTTGGTTGATAATAATATCAAATGGCAATAGTAAATCGTTAGCACTTTGTAAAGGTGTCAAAATCTCAAGAGGCAAACAAATTATTGGCAAAAAGGTGACAATAATTAGTGTAAATATTTGCAGATAATTGAATTGATCAATTAGCAAACCAATTCGATATGCCTCATGAGCAAATCTGTGAATCTGTGACGTCCCTGGCTTACTTACTTAATGCCCCAACTGTTGCCGTCGATGACGTCAAAAAAGATCTGAAGTGAATTCAATTCGAACTGGTTAAGTAGCAACTCAAATAGTAAATGTGGTTGGATTGGATTGGATTGGCTTGGATTGATTTGGTTTTGGACTGAGTCGGATCTGTTCAGTTGGGTTCTCAATTTCATTTAATGTCATTACACGCTAACTAGGCGATTATTATAAATTTAACTTAGGTCAAGAAACTCGCTTTGCCAATTGATTTTTATTTCTTATTTTGCGGCGTGATTTGACTTACAAGTTTGTCTTGCATTTTGTTTTTTTTTTTGTTTTTTTGTTTGTGTTTGTCTCTTTGGTCTTTTTGGTGCTTGCAGCTCGAGAAATTTTCAAAATGTGTCCCAAACAAATGCGTCAAGTCATTGACCTTGCTCGAGGTCTGTGAGCTGATCTTTGGAGTGTGTTTTTGTTTAGAGCCATCTGTTGGTCAAGTTGACGTTGACTGGTTGCTGTTGTTTACGTTGACTTGTTGTTCTGGTTATTGTTTGTGATGATTACCAATTTCGTCAATCTGTCTAGAGCTCTGATTTAAGTGCCAATGTTGCTAATGGAAAATTACCGCCACTGCCACTTGTTGCAAATTGCGTTATTTAGTGGCTACAAGCATCAAGAGTATCTTTTTTACAATTAATATTATTATTGTTTTAGAGTTTTATTTAGAAAGTTTAACAAACTTAATAATTTTATTCATTTTTATATATGTGTATATTTGATATTTTTTTGTTTTTCATGGATGATTTTCATAAAATGATTATGAAAAGACAAAAATACATAAAACATTAAATCTGTATTTCGTAAGCTTTGCGGATTAAAACCTTTGCGTAAATGCATTTAAAATAAAAGTTAAATAACATGAAGATTAATCTAAAACAAATTTCGAAAATAATACGTTTAACCCTAATTCAAATGTTACTCAACGAGTATTTTTCCAGCTGTTTCTGCCTGATCTTTGGTGCGCCGTCCACCCACCCTTCACTCCCCCTAACCATATAGGTAACTGTGTCAAGGTTAATTCATATTAAATAGTCAAAAACTCAGCATAATTACCAACAGCAAACAATTGTACACATTCTATGTATAGTTTAACGTGTTATATTTTCACAAAATTTACATAGGTTCGTCGATTGCAGAGTGTAATGGATTGGGACTTGTAAACATCGCTGAGACGTGCGAACGTGCCTAGTTTTATATATATATTAAGAGAGCCGACAAGTGCCCAGTTAGCGGTCGGACAATGTACTTAACAAGCTGTTAACGTATATTCCACATAGTATGCAAGTCGGATCTGGCTAATCAGTGGCACGAGCGCCATACGACAGCGGGTTCCACATGGAAATCAACTGTGATCTCGACTGTGAGATACCCTAACCATTTATGTTCTCTATAAGTGAAATAAAATAGCAGCTCGAGCAACTAAGCAATATATTTATATGCATTTAACAGTTTATTAAACGTTAAAAATGATTTAATGTTAACTTCTTTTCATGACTGCCTTCTATTTGGTAATGCCGTTTCTATACTATACAGTTAATCGTCTGTGACGCCAAATGTCAGTTATATGGCCAAACTTAATCTACTGAACTTATCTTAACAAGTAGAGTTCAACAAATTGTTAGAAGAGCCAAGCTAACAATAAATCTTAACCAAATTGAAAGCGCACAAATCGGTTTGAACCGGAAATTCAACGATAGATGGAAAATGCTACAACTGAACTACACTCGGTTCGCTTTCGTTAAGAAAAAGTTGTTAACAAATTATTGTTGCTGTTGTTGTTGTTGTTGCTTGTTTGTTGTTGTTGTTATTGTTATTATTAGTAGCCGGCAGGCAGGGCAAATGCTTTAAGCGCTTCAGCGTTAACGCCGCACGATCAGAACGACTTTGGAGCGCGTCGCGCGCGGTCGATGATTTAAATACATTCGTATTCGTATACGTATCGTAATTTTGTTGCTCGAAAAAAAAAAAAAAAAAAACAAATAAATAAAATCAAAAAAAAACAAATAACGTTAACAACTTTTACTGGAAACGTTAGTCGTTGTCAATTTGGTGCTTGAAGTGGAACACTTGTGATATTTGTTGGCCCTGAAAGAAAAAGCAAAAGCGTAACAAGTACGTGAAATATTTACAAAACGTTCTACAAATAAAATAAGCATAAAAGGACTTTAAGCAAGAGATGTATATCTATATCTATAATATAACTATAGCAACATAAGTGGCTCGAAGAAGGACTAGTAATTGGAAATGTGTGTTTGTGGCCAGTTTTTCAAATACTCCTTTTTTGTTTTAAATCGCAAAAAATGATAGATTTATGTGGAATTATTTAGAATTGTAATGCAAATATCTTAGTCATTTTCTGGACGAAACTGTGTAGTACTTAAAATAATTAAATATTATATAATATCTGCTGATGCTTACCGTAACTTATTCATTTGTGGAATTTGCAAAATGCAGTTGTTGTGAAAGTTACACGTGCATCATTTATCGCAAGAGCACTTCTAGTATACAAACTATATATATATATATATATATATATATATATATATCATTTTTCTTCAATATATATTTATAAATATATTAAAAGTGTACATGCAATATGCGCTTGTTGGGGATTCCTCTCCGACATAATTTGAAACTGGTTTCTCTACATTCTTGACTCGCAGTTGACATTATAGAAAGTTTAAGTATTTCTATGTATTTCCAACGAATTCTATGCCTAAAACTTATCAATGTACTTGAAATGACGAACAAATGTGAATATTATCTTGGTTCGATTAGAGTTTAAGTGAAAACACTCCTAACTGCATGCAATTTATACTCGATTAGATGCGATTTTTGTCAAAGATTCATTCATAAATTGTTATATTTGAATATATATACGAATTTTTAATACTACTAATTGTATTCACTTCCTCAGTCAGTTGGCTAAATAGTGCTATATACATGGACAATTCGATAGTTATGGACTTACCCTTGTAGAGAACGTGCTTGGCACCAGTTAAGCTTATTTTAATGACTTGATCACTCCCAATTTGTATGCTCAACGCTAGTCAATATTGACCTATCAAATTGTGTGACCTTCCCAGTGAATTGCGTGGGAAATATAATTTGAGATGCGCCCATTAATCAGACATCATCGAAAATGAGTTGGCTGAAATGCGGAAACGGTTGTGCCATATAAAGTTGTAGTTGTGCATATGCCAAAAATCGAATATGATTTGTTATTGATTACTTATCAGTTGAGCTCCATGGACACATACATACATATGTACATATACAATCCCATATATTTTAATAGCCATAAAAAATAGAAACGCAAACGAAAACCGCTTAGTCACTTTTAATTTAGACAGTTTTACAGCACGGTTCTGGGCGCATAAATCCAAAAATTCACTGGTAATTACATCAAATTCAAGTGTTAAAACCACAAAAACTGCTATGGGTTAATCCGCACAAGAAATATTTTTGATTAGATAGCGGCAGAGTTGGGCGCGTGCTACATTTCAGTTCGTAGAATTATTGATGTTAACATTGATATTGGCTTATTGGCCGCTATCAAAATGTCTAAAACATTACGAAGTGCCGGCCATTTCGTAGGTGTAGCTGACCACATATCAATTTTAGCCAAATGCGATAACCATTTATGGCTCTGCATTTTACTAGAATCTACTATATTTAGCTGTTGCTTGGTGGTGCTTGGCTTTAAACGCGATTTGGGCTTTGTGACACTCGAGCAATTTCAACAACTAAAAAGATTTTCAATTTGATGGGCGATAAAGTATTGATAGCAATAAAAGTACTTTTAATCACCTTGCAAATTTAAACAAAATAGTGCATTTTTTTTGTTGTGTATTCTTTGACCTTGATTAATCTAAATCTGGAATTTATTTTTTTGAATACCTTAAATTAAATGTTTATATGATTAACCTACAAAAAATGACAACTTTCCGCTTAGTGAACTTGTTTTTATTCCTATAGAACCCACTTGCAATTCATAAATTGCTCTTGACTTGAACAAAAGAAGTGTAAACAATAATACTTCATTGTTTAACTTGGTTATTATATAAAGTTAATGACGTATGTGTCGGAGTAAAAGCAATTATTGTTCTTATGCCTTTCAAATAATCAGCTGAAGTGAATGTAAAAAGAGTATAAATTTGAGTTGCTTTGTTATTTTGCTTAGTTAATCACACAAAATTACAATTCTAAAACTGAATGAGATAGTAAAGAGCTAAGTAAACAAATTGAATGTTCTAAAAGGCCGACCTGAATCGAGGGAATCTATAAAACCTGAACTAACTCTCAGTTTGAAATTTATCTAATCGCCTTGTCTCAGTCTCAATAAATGTGTGTTTGTGTGTGTAATTGTGTGCGTGTGTGTGTGTAGTTGTGTGTGTGTGTGCGTGTGTGTGTGTGTAATTGTGTGTGTAATTGTGTTGTTTCAGCCGTGCTTGGCATGACAAACCCCACATTGAGTTGGGCCATTAAAGTAACTTGTTGCGATATGAAAAAAACTTGAAGCTCGAGCGTCACAGGTAAAAATAAATAATAAATAATAATAAAAAGCCAGTTGCTGCCTTCAGCTTATCGACATCTATTGAGGGCTTTCGAGGGATAAGATAAGATATGCATGACCTGGACAATGTCTAATCGATCAGTTTAGATTCAGGTTTAGCAAATGCTCCACTCTGTCCACAGATAATCACAATAATAATGTATACAGCTTGAAAGTAAGTTAACATTTCTGTTCTTGAGACTAAAGTCAACCAATAATTGTTTTTTTTTTTTCTATTTGGTGGGCATTTATTAGATTTGTTTTATATGCTTTCGACGAGAAAAATAAAAATAAAGAACATTGGCGATTTTCAAATGTGGATTGGCATCGCTGTTTACTGCAAAATTTCAATAAGAATTTTGGAACTTGTTATTTTTATGAATTAAGATTTAAGTTTATAAAATTTAACTCCATTCTTGCTATAATTTTAAATCGTAAAATGTATTCGATTCTTGCAATAACATTAATTTAATCAAATTGAATTATTATTTTAATTGATTGTACTTTTTGATATTTTTTTTTACTAAAAATTATTATTTTATTCCTTTAGATTTTATATTAAAAATAAATGAAAGAAAACGTTTTAAAATATTTTGAATAAATAATGATGCTGAAGCTTAAACTTGTCCATTTGCAGCTATGGTCAAACTGTGGAATTCTCTAACCCGCCGTAAGACGGACGATGTCAACGAGGATGAATCGAAGCTGGCCCGTGTGTTGAATCTGTTTGATCTGACGGCGCTGGGTGTGGGCAGCACATTGGGTCTTGGCGTCTATGTGCTGGCCGGCCAGGTGGCCTACAATATTGCTGGTCCGGCGGTGACCATATCATTTTTGATAGCTGCCGTTGCCTCGGCCTTTGCCGGCATTTGCTATGCCGAGTTTGCGGCTCGAGTGCCCAAAGCGGGCAGCGCCTATGTGTACAGTTATGTGACCATTGGCGAGTTTGTGGCATTCACCATTGGCTGGAATTTGATACTGGAGTATGTGATTGGCACCGCTTCGGTGGCGCGTGGCCTGAGCGGCTACTTTGACTCGCTGATTGACAACAACATGTCCAAGGCGCTCAACTCGACGATGCCCATCAAGGTTAGCTTTCTGGGCGACTATCCGGATTTCTTGTCCTTTGGCATGATTCTGCTGCTGGCTGCCCTGTTGGCCTTTGGCGCCAAGGAGTCCAGTTTCATGAACAACATCTTCACGTGCGTCAATCTGGCGACCATTGCCTTGGTGCTCGTTGCTGGTGCCATGAACGGTGAGTGTTTATTTCATTTTGAATTTATTATTTAATTTAAACACCGTCTGCTTGTTGAATCACAGCCAATCCGGATAATTGGCGCATTCCCGCCGAAGGACTGCCCGAATGGGCTGGAACCGGTGGCTTTATGCCCTTTGGCATTGCTGGTGTGATGGCTGGAGCAGCCAAATGCTTCTTCGGCTTTGTTGGCTTCGATTGCATTGCGACGACCGGCGAGGAGGCTATCAATCCCAAGCGTAACATTCCCTTGGCCATTGTGGTCTCACTGATCATCATCTTTCTGTCATACTTTGGTATCTCCACCGTGCTGACCATGATGATGCCGTATTATCTACAAGATCCGGAGGCACCCTTCCCCGCCGCCTTCGATGCCGTCGGATGGTATACGATCAAATGGATTGTAACAATTGGTGCCGTATTTGCGCTCTGCACCAGCCTGTTGGGTGCAATGTTCCCACTGCCCCGCATCCTGTATGCGATGGGCAACGATGGCATTCTGTTCAAGCGTCTGTCCAAGGTGCATCCGTATACAAAGACACCGCTGCTGGCTACCATAGTCTCTGGCATCTTTGCTGCACTGATGGCGATGCTGTTCAATTTGGATCAATTGGTGGACATGATGTCCATTGGCACACTGCTCGCCTACACGATTGTGGCCATTTGTGTGCTGGTGCTGCGCTATCAGGATGAGCAGATGACCAAAGTGATCTCTGTGCGGGCACCCAACATCTTCCGTCAGCTCTTTTGCAATGCTTACAAGGAGCCCAACACGTTGACATCGGCGATAACCAAAGTTGCCATCGTCGTCTTTTCCATATTCTGCATAATTTGGTGCATCTTTATGCAGGTCTTTGAATTGGACTCGACCGGCGGCATTGTATCACTGAGCCTGGTTGGCGTTATCCTTATCTGTATATGCGTTAGCATTGGCATGCAACCGGTCTCGACCATTGAGTTAACCTTCAAAGTGCCCCTGGTGCCGTTTGTGCCCTGTTTGAGTGTCTTCGTCAACTTGTATCTGATGTTCCAGCTGGATCTGTACACCTGGATTCGTTTCCTCATCTGGGTTTTCATTGGCTATTGCATATACTTCACGTATGGCATTCGCAAATCAACGCAAATTTCCAGAAATCGCAATCATGCTGAAGTAGCAGCAAATGACATGCAGAATCCCGAGCTCTCCGAGCAGCATGAGAATCGCGGCTTCGAACCGGACTCGAAGATTGAGAACGGTGTTAAAGCCGCGCAGCCGACTTATGATTATTCGGAAAAGCTTTAGATTCGACTCGGCTAGTCGGAAATCAAAGTGGAAAAGTATTATAAGTGAAGCTGTTTTCACATCTGACTTTTAACTGAGCAAATATTCCATTTAACTACTTTATTTATAATGCTTAAACAATTTTTTACTTAGACCACTTCTGGGTTTCGTTTTCGACACAAGAAAAAGTATTTCTTTCACAGTTTTAAATGAAGAAAAATCAAATCGAAAACGAAATGTCAAAAGGAATATTCAATTCAGTTAGAGTCTGCCTTGTGAAGTCAGCTTAAATTGTTGTATAGTCAGTTGAACGATTTTTATATAAAAACCACCCCCCCCACACTTATCTAGTAAGTTCAAATATATCTTGAGTTTAGCTTGCATGTGTTTGTGAGAGAGATGAATAGATTGCGCATAAAAATTAAATGAGTCCTTCAGGTGCTTTGCCCATCTCTATGGACTTGTTATTTTTGTGCGCCTGAAATTGTAGACACACACGACATTCCCAAAGGCCGCTAAATGTATACTCTTTTATTCAATTTTCTTTTTGATATTTTTAAAAAAATTTTACATTTTTCACAGACTCATTTTTATATATATATTTCTAATAACTTTGCTGCCTTTCATTTCTGTACATATAATGTCCCCATATTGTTGTGATATTTGTAAATATATATATATATGTATATAGTGTTATAATGTTTTGCATTTATTTATATATGTATATGTATATGTATTTCTGTCACACTACTTGTTGTAATAATATTAATAATGTCATACATTCTTATGCAATTCTATTTAAGATAGTTAGCCAATAAGTTCCTTCCCAATATATATATATATATTAGTTAAGTGAAACAGAAACGAATTTTCCACAATTATTGTTAGTTAAATAAAACGAAATGTTGTACCAGAAGAGAACAGTTTGATTATTTTATTTAACTTGCAGTTGAAGGTTAAACCTTATCAAATTAATCATATCGTAATCATATATATTAACTATGTATATTTGCTTGTATATTTAGGGTACTCCACATGATGCCTGCGAAAGTTCTTTTTGCAGCTAATCTTATCTTTCGGATTGATCAGCAACATTGTTAAAAGATACCGATACTGGATGATGCATGAGGCAAGCTGAAAAAATATAATAAAAATATAAAAAAGAAAAGAGAACAGTTATCTTAAACATGTCTTAGATTACTTAACCTTTTCAGCTGACAGATATTGCACTTTTAGTCCAGATTACAGATATAATTTGGTTTTTGTACATTTTTGAAAGAATATTTGTTTTTTTAAATGCTTTAAAAATGCATATATTCATTAGTATACAATTTTGTTGGTTACAACTTTTGAGATGTGCAAATATCCAGACCCGCATTAAACAGAATATCTGTCGAATAAAAAATGGTTGTAGGTCTTGGCAGCTGCATTCATTTCGACTCCCAGCTAGTTTGGCTAACCAGCTTAGTTAAATGGCAAATAAGCTGGATTTGCCAACTCTTTGAATGCTTCAAAGGAGCTGCAAACTAAAACGCAGTTGGGTAAATAACAGAAGCAAGTCAAAAACGCAACCTAGAGCCAAAAAGCCAGCAGAATGTTTCTTGGATAGTGCAAACACACACACACACACACATACAGATACAGAAACACATATGTATGTGAACGGAAGGCAAATGGTCAACAGAGCGCCACTGAGAAAATAAAAGCGTTTTGTGTGTTTGCCCTTTTGGCCAAGTCCCTTTTTGTTCTGCATTCATTTATGCATTTGAAAAGAATATCAAATGGCGAAGGCGTCAAAATAATCGCCGCTACTGTGTTTCTTGCAGTGTATTGTAATTTTGACTTTTTTGATATTTTCTGTGTGCACATCTGCGAATAAATGCAATTTTTCACACGCTGTCATTCAACAAAAAATTGCCTAAGATGACTGACTCTCATATTTAGGAGCTAAGCTTTATTAAGAGACTCGCATAAAGATATTTAAATGCAGTACTCTTAATAGTTCTACATAGCTTCTTAAGAGATCCATAACAAGTGTTCACTTATACCAAATTTAAAAAAAAAAGTGCTGCTTGACCGACATAACGTATGCGTAATTAAATAACAATGCGCGCCCAAAAGTAGGCAATGCTATTTGCCCAACACATTCGAACAAACAATTAAATCACAAGCCTCAAAGTATGCAATATTGAAAATGCAAAGCAACAACAAATTCGGCACCGAATTTGTTAGTTTCTTTTTGCAGACAATTGTTATTTTTGCCATTGAACAAATATTAAATTGATATCACTTTTAAACAAGTGGTGCAACAAAAAAAACAGTTTTAGGTTTAGGATATGCCAAAATACATTTTATTTGTTGTGTGAGCAGAGTATTTGCAGGGTATATTGGTATATGGCTACAATGTGAAACCAAAACGCTTTTGAAAACACCGCACACACACACACACTGTGAAAAGAGCGAGCCACATACAAATAGAAATATACACGTGACTGTGTAGCTGTAAATAAATAAACAATAATTTGAGCCGCGTTTATGTACAAATGTGTGTGTGTGTGTGTGTGTGTGTGTGTGAGTGTGTCTGTGTGTTAGCATAAAACGTAATATAAACGGTGTATGTAGAATGCAATGGGAACAGCAGCATTTGGAGGATGAGAACTGAGCGCTCGATGCGCGTTGTGGTTTCATTTGTGAGTTTTAATTAAATACGTTTAAATATTTGTTATTTCCGACAGGCAGACAAACCAACAACGACCAACGAGGCAACAACAAATCGCAACAACATGAAAGAGCTGCAGCACAACAGCCACCTGGCAAATATTAGCGAAAAATTAGCAAAGTATTTTAAGCGCAACATGTTCGTCCTGCGGTTTTCAACATCAAATCCTCTGGCTGCATCCTCATCTGGCATCAGTTTCAATGTAAGTGCGCACAGCAGCGGGGCAGGCAGGTGGGGAATGTGGGCAGTTTTGATATGGGAAAACATACATAATTTTGCGATGTGAGCTCATTGCGTGTGCATTTTCATTTATTTATAAATAACGCATAATTAATTTAAAATGCGTGCCTGAAATTGCCGTTAAGTGCTTAATCCTGTAAAATGCAACTGGTCACGCACCAAAACACACAATTTCCTGGACCCGACTCGTTTCGAAACTCGTTTTAGCCAATGCATTTCAAGTGGCCATCATCTTCAATCCACTAATCTACTTTTTATCTGTTTGAATGTCGTAAATAAAATGTGAGAGAAATAAGCTTTAAATAAAAATGATGGTAAATTAGCCATGACTATATAAGCCGATTCGCTAAGACATTCATCGTATTCAAATTGATTTATACTAACGAAATAAAATGAATTGAAATCGAAAACGAAATAAATTAATTGAGTTGATTGCTAACTGAAATTAATTATGCGTAAGCTAATTAAGTACAAATACAATCCAGCATTTTAATTTGATATTATTCTATTAATTTTCTATTGGCGACAAAACTCTCATTAACAATTTAACTCACTTAACATTTTCGTTCTCTCTAAAAAGTCTATTGGTATATTGCCAAAACGAAAGGCAAAATAAACTAAAGTCCGCAAAAATTGCTAATGATTGCCATGCCCACAATTACCGCTGCTTGATCACAGTGCAATGTTTACCCCTTCCCCCACCACCCTTCCCGTTCTAGCATCTAATTTGGCCGCAAATTTGTGAAAGTCGGAAAGTTCAAAAATTTTACATGCGGTCAACAAAATCAAATTAACTTTTAGTATGTTGAAAATTTTGCAACCACAGCTGGAAATAAGTTTTAAAAATTTAATTTTAAATACAACGCACAACTTGAGTGCGATAATGGGGGATGGGGTGGGGAGAGGTTGATGAAGGTTGACTGTTGTTTACATACTCGTATAATAGGCCGATCACCATCAATTAAGAAAATAATCCGCGCATTATGTGAATACTATATAAATATTATTTGACAGCAGACCATTGGCAAAAACTGTCGTCGAGTGGTCATCACAGCAACGGGAGCACCAGGCGCCCATGGCAGATGAGTGTTGAGGGGTGGGTTCAACAATCCGGACTGGGGATTATGGGACCATTATGCGAACATATTCAACATATGCTAAACGAGCGGAAAAAACTCCTGAACCATGTCATGTGGCGGTCGTAATGATGTTCCTGATGAGACCAGAGTATCCAGCGGATGCGTATGCGGATGCGAAAGCGGATGTTTTTGGGCCAGTTGCGGATGTTGATGATAATGACGATGACAGGTGTCCTATGAACTGCAAATGACATTTATATGGACATGCAACGACAAATCGACCTGGAATATTGTGATTTTTTAAGATGCAGCCAAAAGCTAGTTAAGACTTATCAAATAATAATAATAAGTAATGCATAATAAGATAAGAAATATTAAAAAATCCATGTAACTACAAAGTAAAGTTTTTTTAAATACCTAAAAACAAAATTACAAAGTTTGATCAAGAAATGCAATTACCAAAATCATAACAAAATATGAACATCATCAACTTCAGCTCTGATAAAAGAATGAATGACTTACCAATCTAGGACAGGCATTTATTTTTATTTACAAATTGATTTGGTTTCTTTTTCTATTTTTTATTTAAATGGCTTTCCATTTTTGGTTGCTTTTCATTTGATATTCTTTTAATATTTTCATTATTGTCATCAAAATATACATTTAATTATATAACCACGCTCACTAGTTCCCTAATTGTTTTAGTTGCGGAGAGGTGTGCGCTGTGCAACAGGGCGTATGATGAATTTGGTTGAACAATTTTCCCCAAATCTGTAATGCAAATCCATATTCATATATATAAATGGATATCTTTATTTGTATATGTACGTGTGTATTATTTTACGTGTCTATTTAGACAGCCGTAACTAAATATAGATTGTTAATTTTGTAATTAATATTTATACACAATTTAATTAGCGTGAAAGTCCATCTGATTGTTTATCCGTCTGTATGAGCAAGCCAATCGCAGAGTTAGAAAATTTCAAATTGAAATTAAGTTTATATCAATTTATCGATAGCCTGCAATAAAAACTGCAATTTTAAAGATATTGCTTGCTAATTCAGATTTATTTTCAATTTACAGTTTCATTCTCTAATTTAAATTTGTTTCCCCCTGCTCAAGGTCAGGTGATATATTATTATAATATTGCATTTGAAAGGAATAAAGGCAAATCAAATGTATTCGCTCTGTATACGCTATAAGTTTAGCTTAATCATTAATCATTTATATATGTTTGTGTTGACCGCGCGAAAACGTAATTTGCTTGAAGCCAACCTCAACGTACTTGGCACACAATGACTTCAAATGCCATCAATTTGGCTAACAATATGCATGGCAATTAACAAATTAATTGCCTACTTTGAGGCTGCACTTGAAGGCTACACACAAACACTCACACACTCACACGCTATTCACACAGATGCCTGCAAGTGCAGGCTTTGCTAGTTAAGCAAATTCCCAATGGCGTCTTAGTTTTATGGGCAGCACGCAGCGTCAACAACAACAATAACAGCAACAACTCAAGGCACAAATGCTGAAACGCTAATGAAATTTGCAAGCCGAGCTGCACAGCTGCCCAGGGAGTTGAACTTCTGCCCGGTAGGTGGCGTATTTGCAAAGCTTTTAATGTAATGACACATTATCATGCTTGCAAGTCAAAGGCAGCTATGAAAACACATAGACAAGAACTCTGACACACACATATGCAATAAGCGACAATTGAGCATAAGCAGATAACGGGAAGCTATGAAGCAAGCGTCAGTGGGAAAGGGAGAGAGTGTGAAAGCTATCGCAAATGAGGGAGAAAGCCAAGATTGTGAGTGCGGCAGACTGTTGCAATTGTTTGCATTGCTTTGCCTAACCACAGGTTACATCAACTAATGCATACTTGCATCAACTCGAAACTAACTGAAGGTGTAATCTGACGTTTGTTTGTGGCTGCGAGCTTAGACAATTGTTAAATTATTCAAATAATATTCACTTGGCAAATATTAAGTATATTCATTATATATATATATTCATAAGCTTGCAATTTATTTGCAAATATTTGATAAATATTTATTTAAATTTAAAATTAATCTTATACATTAAACTTATGTATTAAATATATTTAAATTAAAAATTACACTAGTTTATTATATAAAATTATATAAATATTCATAAGTTGGCAATAAATAAAAAATTTGCAAATATTTTATAAATATTTATTTAAATTTAAAATTAATCTTATACATTAAACTTATGTATTCAATTTATTTAAATTAAAAATTACACTAGTTTATTATATACAATTAAAAATTATATATGTATTCAATTTATTTAAATTAACAATTAAACTAGGTTATTATATAAAATTAAAAGGGAGCAATTAAATTAAAAATGAAAAAATAAAATAAAATAATGAGCGTAATAATTTCTGTGGTTATTTATTGCAAGGAAAATCAGAAAAAATTCCAATCAGCACAAATATTGTTAAGCATGAAACAAAGATTTTGAGTGTGAAATTTAATAATATTAATAAGAAAAATAAAAGAAAATGTAGGCAAATCATATATGAAAAGTGAAATATCTAGATCAGTTATAAAGAATTTTGGTTTATCCCTAAAATGCTTGTTTGAGTCAAAACTGTAGGGTTATTATTATTATTGGGATAACAGCAGAGCGACCTATTCGATCTATTGTTAGGGTGACAAGTTTTTGTATGTTGCGTATTTACATTGATGTCTGTTTGCAGCGCTCAACTGTGCAACAACTCCCAGCAAACACTTTACCCTATCTCTATTTTATATGGATTTACTGTCGATTTATTACTGCCGCTGTATTTGTTATTGCTATTGTTTTATTATTGCTGTTGCACAGATATTACGCATCCGACCTGACAGACGGCCTATTTGGTTGGCAACTTCCACGTTGCAAAATGCGATTTAAATGGTTACCATCCTACCAAAAAAAAAAAAAAAAAAAAAAAAAAAACAACAACAAAAAAACTGAAAACAGAATACGCCCTGCGCCTGCACACACTCTGCCACACTTGTGCCTTTTATAAAATATGCAACAGCAGCAACGCTTGTTGCAACAATGACAGTATCAACAAAAACAGCAACAACAACAGCAGCAACAACAGTAACAATAATAACAATACAAGTACAGAAATTGCCAGCGCATCCATTTAATTTCATTTTAATGCAGAGCATATCCTGGCAAGGTGTAGTCCCCTCCCCTGTCCACCCCCTCCCCGTCCCCTTCACAATGCCCGCTTGATTGTCGGATAGCGATTGTCCTTATGCAGAGTGTAAACAATTTTGCCTTATCAAACAATCGAAATGTGGGCAGTAGGCGTGGCCAATTAAATGACTCTGGCTCTGTTTAATGCATCACTTTTGGCCAGCTGCATATTATTGCATTTATTGTTATTGTTGTTATTACTATTATCATTACTGTTATAATTGCTGTCATTTGTATTTGCCTGTTGTCTGTGTTTGCCAAGTGTTGATCGCATTTTTATGACTGCTCCAGGCGAACTCATGATTGCAATCAGTTTTCCCGAGTGTTGGCAGTGAGCTGAAAGTAAATTAAACAAGGAAATCCACTTGCAGACCATAAATCACACTCAGAGTTTTGAAAAATCGAGTGAAAAACATAGAAAATGCACACTTGATGACAACAAAAAATGAAGGGCTTAATTTGAATTTTTCATAATATACAATTTAATATAGGTGTATAAATTATTTTACTCATTACTCAGTCACCAACGATCTTAATTTAATATTAAAATTGCTCACACTTAATATTAAAATATTAAACAAAATTATATCACCTAACCAAAAATTAAAATTGAATTTTTAACTGCTTTTGATGTTTAATTAAATTAAATTAAATTCATAAAATATTTATAAATATGTATTTTAAAGATTTAAGCTTAAAACTAAATCATTTACACATACATAAATTGTTTATATTTAATCTTTATTATATAGTTTAAAAAACTTCTAGATCATGCCAAAAACCGAATAGGATATTAAAATTGAACAGCGAAAGACTCTTAAACAATTGAAGACTTCTTGAGGCACACTTATGACCAAAAATAAATTTGTATAATTGCTTTATAAATAAATCGACAATTCGCCAAAAATAGCAAATCAAAAACTACAAAAAAACACTTGAATTTTTAGCAAATTGGCAAAAAATTAAAGAATAATTTGTAAGACACATTTAAATTTGAATTAAAATTACAACTTAGTAATAATTTGTAAGACGCATTTGAATTACATACAAGTAAAGACAACAAATTGCTTACAAAATAATGCGCAACTCAAATGATTGAATAATAGTTTAATAATACTTAGAATATTATTAGTCTCAAGTGGCGAGCACAGAGCAGGAAACAAATTTGCTGAAAAGCCAAAAATCAAATTTGATATCTGAAATCTGAAATGTGTAGCAGTATTCAAGGTCAGAGAACGCTTCAAGTGTTCTAATGAGGCACTTGAGCATGAATATGTTAAATGAGTGGGCCGAAGTTGTTAACAATTCAAATAATGTCTATTAAAATATAATCAAAATATATGACATAAAGTTAACTTGTGATTAGACCATTAAATGAGCCAAAAACGTACCATTTATTATCCATTGTATTTGCTAAATAAGCCAAAAACAAAAAAACAGTAGCCAATCTATTACCAACAATTGTAACGAACAAAACGTTTAATTTGAAGTGTGCGAGTAAAAAAAAGCCACTTCACTTCACATGCAAAAACCTGATCCAAAATGTGTATTGTGCTCAAGTGCGTGGCCAACTAAGTTGAAGGCGGACGTTTAAACATGAAATTTTCGGTCAGTTTTTCGTCGTCGGATCGTCATAGCCATATTATCAAGTGGTTAATAGAGCCCAAGACGGCCTGTCGTCATCTTTAACTTTGATGCGCACTTGACTTGGCTCCATATTTCATATGTGTTTTTTTTTCTGTTTTGTTTTTTTTTATTATTATTTTATTTTCTACTCTTTAGACTGGTAATGAAAACCAGATTTCAACCGTCGATGATCCATTTTTCGCTATAAATACGCATTGCGAATTGGACCAAGGCATCATTGGGTTCAATACCTACGACACAGTAACATCTTTCGTCAGTTTGCCTAGTTTGCTAGTACGAAAGAACCAAATCTACAGCATGGTAAGTGTCCCAAAGTGTGCTGAAAAATACAAACAATTATTTAGTCTTGGAGCACGAAGTTTTAAAGCTTTCCTATGAATATCTTTACAACTTATTTACTACAGAAAAGTATTTAAAAGAATTTATTTTACACATAAAAGGAAAAGTTTTAAAATAATTCAGAATTCGCTTGTAATCTAAATGATCTAAATTTTTTAACATTTAATAGAATTCAAAGTAATCGATTCAAGTATTAAAATTGAGATTTAAATTTTAGTATATTTTATTTTTTATTAATTTCATAAGTTTTTCAACTTTAAATTATATTTTTTCATATTTTTTACACAATTTGCTGAACTTCTCGTTGCAGAAACTCTTCATTGGCGCCCTCTCCCTTTGCCTGGTGGCCTTTGCCGCAGCTCAATCGTTGGATGCCGCTGTGCAGGATCCTTCCGCCGAGTACTTGCCACCCGTTGGAGATGCTGAGGCTGCCGCATTGTCGGACGATGGTTATCGGTACAAGACGGTGCGCCGTTTGAAATTGCGTCATCGCCGCGAGGTGCCCAGCCAGGAGTATCTGCCACCCAACCAGGAGTATCTGCCGCCCGTTGATGGTGGCGAGGTTGCCGAAACGAAGGTTGCCGATGATGGTTACCGTTACAAGACCGTGCGCAAGCTCAAGTTCCGTGCCCGTCATCGTCGCGATGTCTCCGAAATTGCCGCACCCTCCAGCGAGTATCTGCCCCCGGTTGATGTTGAGCTTGCCCCCGAGCTGAAGACTGTGCTGGGCGCCGATGGTTACCGTTACAAGACTGTGCGCAAACTCAAGTTCCGTCGCCATCGTCGTGAGGCTGACCCAGCTGAGGATGCTGCCGCCGCTGAGGCAACCAACGGTGAATATCTGCCACCCGCAGAGACACCCGCCGCCGCCGATACCGTTGAGGTCAAGTCCGCCGATGTGCCCGCCGAGGGCACCGAGGTTGGCAAGGATGGCTACCGCTACAAGACCGTCCGTCGCATCCGCTACCGTTACCGTCATTAAGCTGCTGATTTCCGAACTTAGGCCTATTGAACCAAATTGATCCTGATAGTACACAGAGTTTGCCCAGCCAGGCATTGGAGAAGTTTACAATGGTTATTTGTTAGTTTCCATTTGCTTGGCTGCCACTCGACCCAATCCCCTGTCCCTTAAATAATATACTTAGTTTTTCATTTGTTCCCACCACAAAGCATAAGGAATAATAAAGTTTATTCGAAACAAAAAAAAAAACTTATTTTGTTTTCTTTTTTTCTTTTTCTAAAATAAGATTTGAAACTGAAGAATCAATGGAATTGATTTATCAATCATCACACTTAATACACAAAAGAAAAATCAAAAATATAATAAAAATTCATTTAATAAATATGATGCATAAAACAGAAATTTTATAAAGACATTTTACTAAATTGGCAGCTAAATTAAATTGAGAACATTGGCTAAAGTCCCCAATAAAATATTTTTTAAGTGCAATTAATCACATTTTAATATTTAAAAATTTATAAATAAAATAAAGTATTCAAAATATTGTAAAAAATATTAAAAATTAAACATTAAAAGTAATTTGGCTTATTGTTAAATTCTTATTTAAATGAATAATGATTTTCAAATACTTTTACAAGCGAGAAAATCATAAGTTTGAGCTAACTTTTATTATAAAAGAAGTAAAGTAAAGTAGATTTATATACTGTTAAGATTTGATCTCCCTTTCCTTAGCCAAAGTCCATTTAGATTGGCTCAAAATGCATCAAAAAACATATTCAGTAAATTTGCATTACTTTATAGAGAAATCAAATTTGGCTGGCAAAGCAGAATAAAAACAAAAACGTTAAAGCGATTTTATGCCCGCTCTTTTAGCTGTCCATTAACATTATCATAATCGTCTTTATTATAATGATCATTAAGCGAGTGGAGTTGTCTATTTGTGGTGCTCAAAAATCAAATCAAAATGAAATTTTTGCTAAATTGCACATTAAAATACCGAAGGAGGGGCAACCGCCGCAGCAGTCGAGGAAGAAGCTAAGAAATAAAAAGTGCACACAAAAGAAGCCAATGAGCAAAAAAAAACAAAAAAAAAAAAATGGGAAAAAGTGGAATTGAAATCAATGGACAAGTAATGGCCATGGGCCAAAGCGAATGGAAAATTGCGAATAGTGAAAAGCGAATAAAAAAAAGAAAATGAAAAGGAAAAAGAGAAAAATTTGAGAAAACTTTTGGCAAATTGCGAAATTCTATTTAGAAATGAAGTGTGTGCTTTTAGGCGCACCAGCTGAGCACCCAGCAAGTGCAGCGACTCTGACGGAGTCGCCTCCCCTCTCACCAGCTCTCCACAACCCTCTTTGCCATCTTTCGTTAGTTTTCGGTCAACTTTTTGTTATATTATTTTGCATTTATTTGCACAGCGTTCGGATTTCTTTGTTTTCTTTCATTGCTTTTGCAGCGCAAAAAGCAAAAAAAAATAATAATATTACAATATGCCAGACATGGCTTGGGCGCACTCTCTCCCTCTCTCTCTCTCTCTCCCTCTCTCTATCTCTCTTTCTCTCTCTCATTCCATATTGGCCATGGAACGAGGAAAAAAGGTAAATAAAACATTTTATGAACCAAAAAAAATAATATAAAGTTTTATAATTGAGCGCTTGACTTTGTGAAGCAGCGGCCTAAAAACGTTGCCAGGCTAAACCTTAAGAGTCCCCATGAATATTCATTTTCTAAATGGTTCTTGCTCATTTCAGTCTGGCAAGTCTGTGAAATGAACCCATTCTATGCAAATATGTTTTGTGTATCGCAATTTATATTTGTCCTTTTGCTCAAAGAAAGAGTTTCTTCTAGTCTACTGAGCTTTGCATTAATTAATTAATATAAATAAATTGATAATAAAAGAAATAAATTTATTACATTTAATTAACATCTCTGGTTTATTGGCCATAAGAGCAAAGTGTTGTCAAAAATATTTTAATAATTTGTTAAATGAATGAATAAGTTAATCAATGTAAGGTATATTTCACTATTTTTAAAAGAACCAAAGTAAAAGTTTGAGTGAATATATTTAAATTTTACAAATATTTACATTTTACAAAAGTATATTTAAGATTTTTTCATAGAGTGGATTACAGATAAATGACAAATTTACACACAATAAAACATTATTTACAACTTTAAAACTCGAACTTAAAATTCGACATCGATAAAAACACATTTTTTATTTTCGATGTTGTTGGTAAATTTATATTGCATATTGCTCTACAAATGTCATGCATCATTTATAAAAACAATTTCAACGCTTTCCTGAAGCGCAATGAGCCGGAGAAGAGTGCGAGAGAGAGAGAGAGAGAGGGAGAGAGAGAGAGAGGGAGAGAGAGAGAGAGAGGGATAGAGAGATGTAAGAGACGGCAACATAAACAATTTATTGAAACTGAATTGTCTGTGAAATGCAGTGAAACAATTTGCAGCTAATTTGTGGCCAGGCCTAATTGCATTTGGGTAATTGAAATATGCTCGAATTGCCCAATTTTAAAGACAGCTCAGAAGTAAATTATCTGCATTTATTGGCATTTATTAAATCCCAAAAACCAGTAGGCAGCATAATTATGAATATAGCTCATTAAGTGCGCCTATCTATGCCGTTATCTTTGCTCGAACTTCTTCTGATGTCTCGTCATTTGGCCAAATGTCAAACGGATGCAAAACGGAGGCGACTCCGCTGCGATGCGCGTTGTGCGATGTGCGATGTGTGGAAAAAGCGAAGCGAAATCGTAGCAGATAATATTTAAATGGATTTTTAATGGAAACAGACGGCAAACAGCTGCGACAAAGAGCATCTATAGACACTGCCAAACGGCGTGGGTGAGAAGGGCGAGGGGTGTGGACTGTAAAATCTCTGAGAAAAAAGAGATAAGAAAAACGCTGTGGAACTGGGGAACAATCAAAAATTGTGTGCTTGACAGTCGGGTTTATGAGTCAAGCCTCAAGCCGATTTGCCTTTAAATTCTTCACCTCAATTTGCCAGCAAATGGTAGATACGTAATTGAAAAGAACAGAAAAAAATAAAGCAAAATTAAAAAAAAAATACTCTGCACTTAGCAGAGAGTTTTCCATTCCGGAGAAAAAAGAAAATTGTGCCTACGGCAGAGGCAAGTGTACGTTATTATTAAATTATTCATAAGTTTTCAAGCTACACAAACTTTTTGCACTGGTGCAAAGTTTTTGCTTTTCTCAGTTTGTGTTTGACTTTTGACTATTTTTGCCTTGATGATGTTGTTCTTGCTGCTGTTTGTTCCGCAGGCGACCCAATCGCTGCTAATTGGACCAGACTAGGCCAACATCGATTCAAATAAGTACAAATCAAGCAGCTATTCAAATTCTGATTTTTGATGTTTACTAATAGTTGCCAATAAATGAGTAGAAATCCGTTTGAAGCTATTGATAGCCAATTATAAATTTCGCTTAAATTTGTTGCAAACGCTTGAAAATGATTTAAATAAAGAAAATTATTGATGTCCATCCAAAAACTGTGAAAGCGACAACAAATCAAAAGCAAAATCAAAATATGCGCTTGGAATGTAACGGTTTGCATTGCTGTTAATTAATCTCATTCAAATATTGGACCGTGTGTCGAGCGCAGGCCGCTTCATCAGCATCAGCATGCCCACACACACACACACACACACACACACACACAGACACACACACACACATGTACAAGTTGATAAGTCTAACAATGCGAATGGAGAGAATGGAATGATGGGCTGGCAAATATGCCTGCAATGGCCCACAGAACGATTGATAAATACGAATGCTGACGCTAACGCTGACGACTGCGCCGGCGACGGCGACGGCGACGTCAATGTTGACGTTGACGCGCTGCTGTCACAGTAACGTAGCTTATTTTTCAGATGACCAAACGAGACGACGGCGACGACAGCAGCAAAAAGTAAATAACAACTGCGGCAGCGAGTAATAAAGTTGATTGCAGGCAGTAGCCGGCGGCAAATTGAATATTTGTCTTTGTGTGCGTGTGTGTGTGTGTGAGTGTATGTTTGTATGTGTATATATGTGTGTGTGTGTCTCGCTTTGTTTGTATTTGTTCGCATTGTTAAATGTCAGCTACAGACAACAACAACAAGAAGAGCAGCCAAAGAGAGCTGAGCATTCGTTCGCTCCCACAACGTGCCCATTGTTAACGGTAGTCTTTGGTCTCTGCCAATCGACTACGACTACACAGAGCGCCTTGCTACCAATACGTTGTCCACACAGCATCCAAGGGCAAACGCAACCCTCGCTCGCTCGCTCGCTCTCACTCTCTATCCTTATACGTTTATCAATTGCCATTCTCTTTGGTGCAATGCGCTCTCTCTCTCTCTCTCTCTCGCTCTCTTAGGCTGTTTTCGCTGCTTGTTGCTTTGTTTTTGTTTTATACACTGTGAAGAGTTGTTGCTGCTGCTGCTGCTGCTGCTGCTCTTGCCAATCTTGTGCATTATCGATTTTCTTTTGTTTATTTTGCGAGCACTCGCATTTGTTTGTTTGTTGTTGTTGTTCTTCTTCTTCTTCTGCTCGCCCCCTTGTCTTTAGTTTTTGGTTTCTTGTTTATTTGCGTATTTTCTTAAGCGTCTCATTGATAAGCATGCGTTATTATTATTCGATCCATTCAAGTCTCTTCTGTATTGTTCGCAGATATGTTTACGATTTATGGCCAGCAAAAAAAGAAAAAATAAATAAATAAAATTATGTAATTCTTACACATTTATTTGTTTTTCTTTTATCTGCTCTTTTCTTTTGATTTACTTATCAATTTCCAGCTTAAGAATGCATCCGAAAGAAATGCACTGATCTGCTTATTATTATATTAAGGGGAACAAAGAACAATTTCATATTTATTTAAGTAATTTCATAGCACATCATTAATCACTATCCCAATCATGCATAATCTTCAAAGAAAATTGGGGGGTTTTTTTTTTAATATAAACATAGTGATTTGAATGAGACCAATTATTATGAGAAATAAATTTATTTACTTATTTAATGTACAAAAATACAAAAAGTAAAAACTGGATTAAATTAAAAATAAAATTTAAATGAAATGAAAATAAATAATTATAAGATGTATTTACCCGCAAGCGTCAGGCGATAAGCTTACAACTGAAAACAAAAAAATAAAAAAAAACAAAAATACTCTTCAGAGCCTTACTCAAGAGAGTATTATTTTTTTACCAAAAAGTGTCCATCAACCATTTGCATATTGTGCTTAGCTATTGCAATGACCTTGAATTCAAATGGATAATTTAGCAGGCGCTTTCCTGTATCTGTGATTTGTGCGACTCTCTTTTAAGTTGATAAAACGACGCTGTGTTTATTGGCAACAGCCAACGATTAAGTTCCCCCAATTGTTTACAGCATCAGCAGCAGCACAAAGCTTTCTCTCTCTCTCTCTTCCTCTAGCGCCGGCAACGTTAGAACAAAAACATGAGCAGCATCCGCATCAGCAACAGCAACAGCAACAGCAATGTTAGAACAACTAAGAGAGCCGAGCGCAGCCCCCAACAAACAACGCGTGGGTCGACGGCAACCAACACAATGGCAGAATATTCTCCCTTGGCATCTATCTCTCTCACTCTCTCTCTCTCTCTCTCTCTCTCTCTGGCTCCCGCTCTCGCTCTCTCTTATTGCATACAACAGCAAAAATTGTTGGCAGAGCGCAGTGCAGGCGAGAGCGTCGACGGCTCTCTCTCTCTCTCTCTTTCTGTCAATGTGTAGCTTATGTGCGCTCAGCATGCGGCTGCTGCGCCGCCAATTTGCAAGAAAATTTAAGTTCGCTGCTTACAGTTGGTTTTGTGGGGCAAGTTGTGAAAAACAGCGACGAAACACCGAACGGCTGCTGCTGCTGCTGCTGCTACTGCTGTTGCCGATGCTGCCAAGAAGTGGCAACAGAAAACATTATCAGCTGCAAAATACACATGCGCATCTGTACATATAACTGTATAATAAACAATTTAATTTAATAACATACGAATATCAATTGAGCTTGGAATTGTGCTTGGCATGTGTGTATATGTGTGTGTGTGTGTGTGTGTATTTGTGTGTGTTTGTGTGTTTGTTTGTGTGTGTGTTTGTGCATGTGTGTAGTTTATGTTATTGCTGCTCTCCCGTCGTCCCCCCACTTATTTGTGTGTGTATACAACACACACACACACACAGGCACACACACACAGGCAAATAGTCAGCGCATTTTGTAAATGTGTTTGTGAATTTTGTGGTACATTTTGCGCTCGCATCGTTTACAGATTTTTGTGGTGGCAAATAGTTGTTGCATAGCCTTCATACAACACACAACAACAGCAACAAACTACTAACACTGCGACAAGTGGCAGCAAACTGCGTAGCAAACGAGCACAACAACAACAATAATAATAATAACAAGCTACGTTTTGTTGTTAATTGAAATAAATTGAAATAAATTCTCAACGTGCTGCTCATATTGTTAATAAAGACAACAGCAACATCCACAACAACAGCAACATCCATAACAACAACAACAACAACAGCAACAAGCAACACGGCAGCAATATCAAAAACGAAACTAAAAAAAATTTGTTGTGTTAGTTGAAAGTGAGGCGCCAAATGTTTTAGCTACAAGCAAACAGACCCAAAAAAAACAGCAGAGAAAAAACTCAAAAATTGGTCGCAAAAACATTATAAAAGCTAATTGAATTTGCAAAAAGAAAAAAATTCTTGAATTTTATATAAACATTTTTGTCGGCAAAATTAAATTGAGATTTAAACAAGTGCAAGTGTCTACACAAATGTGCTATTTTTTATTTTTATTTTGTTTTTTGTTATTATTTTAGTATATTAATCGGTAAATCTTGCGATTTTTGTGAGTATTTTTAGCCTGTTTATATATATATATATGTTTGTGTATGTGTGTGTGGATTGCAGCAAGCATACAATTGAAAATCAGTTCAAACAAGAAATTGGCAAAATAAAACTAGAGCAGCAAAAACGCATCACAAATTGAGAGCTAAATTAGCATCGCAAACTGTTACGTAAGCTGCGAGAGACAGCCAAAGAGAGTGAGTGGGCAAGCGAGAGAGAGAGACAGAGAGAGAGAAAGAGACGGCAAGAGAGTGCGACAACGTGTGCTAGAAAAAGAGGAAGCTACTTTAAAGGATTGGTAAGAGTTGTAAGTATGGCAAATTCCTGACGCACTTTATTAACAACATTTTTATACAGCGAGTGAAACCTTGAAATACTCTTGGAATTTATTTACACTTGGAGCATTTTAAGCAGCGAATTAAAAAGTTGCAATTTGCAATTTGCTTAACGCAGCTGATAAATATATTATTTGTGTTAAAGCTTAATATTTAAAGAGGGTATAGTTTTTTTTTGCCTGATTTTAGCTTAAGTCACCTATTTAGTAGGCAAATATATTTTTGTTAGCAAAATCTGTCTTTATTGTTCAATCTTAATGATCAGTTTTCCTTATATCGATTTATATCGATTTTTGCGAATCGAGTAAGGTATACTAGTAAAGTATATTGATAAAATTATATATATTTTTGTTAGCAAAATCTGTCTTTATTGTTCAATCTTAATGATCAGTTTTCCTTATATAATGACAATTGTATCTACCCGTAATCGATTTATATCGATTTTTGCGAATCGAGTAAATAAATAAATTTGAAAATAATAACATTTTTTTCCAGACGATCAAGCCCAAATCGACTATTGATGCTGATTTAGAATATATATATTAAATGGTGTCGTATATGCTTGCTTCTGTCTGTCTTACATACTTTATCACTACTTCATTACAGCCTACTTCCTATTTTTAATGGGTTAATTTTATAATCATATCTATAAAAAATGTAAAATTCAGCTTTCTCTACAATTTCTCTAACAATTATTGAGAATGTAATAATCCCCGAGCAATGATACACACTTTGTTCAAAAGCAAATGCCCGATAAACACCAATATTAATATTAATGACACATCTGTGCATATGTGTATATGTATCTTGAACATCATGCCACTCACTAGTTAGTTCTGTGAAGTCCACTAATATTGGTGGTTGAGTGGCATGCAATCGTTACATGCGGTTCAGCAATGCTCATAAGTTCGCAAATGGAACAGCATTATTTGGGAATTGTTCAAATGTTTATGAGTGTGTGAACATATGTATACATACATACATACATATGTATATATGTATATATAGACCTGCACATTCTCGACCGCAACGCTTCAGTTCTGGGAATGCGAAATCAGAGCATTGAAAATGTTTATTTTATCCGATTTGTTTGTCTAACTTTTAATTGTGCTTTGTTTGTGGAAAGTACGTCTACCTATGAATCACATATTTACGCACATATCTTTTTTATATGTACATATATAATATATAATATGACGATTGACTTATTACTGTTCAAGTGAATTTAATGATGGCATTGATAAACATGCAGATTCCATAGAAATCCCATTCCCATTTCCTAACAAAATAAATATAATTAGTAATAAAATTTTCCGTCACTTATTCTGGCTTTACCAATTTATTTAATTATACAAATACTTCTTAAATAGTGAGTAAATAATATAAAAATATAGATTTGCATAAAAATCTAGGCCAAGAAATTTATTCGCCAATCTTTGAAGAAGTTTCTCAATAATCTACCTTCAAAGTTTGTTGACTTTTGCTCTGCAATTGAGGTAAATAGTATTCTACTAACTCTGTAAGAGTTGGTAAGAGACACTTTAACAATTGCAACAGTTTTGCTGCTTCATTTGAAGTTATTTTATGTTCATGAGCTGATTTATAGTTGAATGACCCCCTCCCAATGACCACCCACCGATAGAATGTGCAATAAAATTATATTTGCATTTCTAACGTGCCTCAATATAAATATCCCTGGATGCAAGCATAACCCCTTCCCGTATTGGTATGCAAGCAGTCAGTTCATTGAACTCGGCTCACAAACAATGAGTATCATTGGCCCAAACCCCAAAACCTCAAACAACTCCCCCAACCAAGTAAGAAGTGTCCGAAACATTGCATACTTTTCGGCCTGATGACCATCAAAGCAACAACAGGCAACAAATAATATTAACGATTTTCTCATTTCACACATCTTGCGCAGCATCTGAAGCGGGCCAACACACACACACACACAGACAACCACACAGATGACATGCGCAGTGCGCATTTGGTAGTGGTTGGTAGCAAAGGAGGCAACAGCAACAACAAACAGCTAAGAGCATATTAAGAGAGAGAGTGGGCGAGAGAGAGAGAGAGAGAGAGCTGTTTTGGCCATGGCCTTTTCGCGGCACAACATCGAAAAGCGCCGACTCATCGAGCTAGTTCGACTGAATCCCATATTGTGGGATTGCCGCCTGCCGCACTACAAACGCTCCGACAAGAAGAAGGCCATCAAATGGAACGAACTGGGACGCATGTTCAATGTGAATGGGGAGCGAGTGCAGCGCACCTTCACATCCCTGCGGGAGATCTTCCGGCGGGAGCTCAACCACGAGAAGATGCTGGGCACCACACGCTTCAAGTCAAAGTGGGAGTACTACGATGCCATGGCATTTCTCAAGGAGGTCATCAGGGAACGCAAGTAAGTACTCGGCTCCAGAAAAACTAATAAATATTCGAATAAAAAATGCATTTCAATTTAAGCAGAATTTTGTTTAAAGAAATTTGCTTAATTTAAGCTGAGTTTTATTTGGGTACATTCAATTTGATGTGTTTAATATTTCAATTGATGCTTTGGAAACTGGAATTTTATTAGTCTTTTTTAATTTTCTCAGTTACTTTCTTACATTATTAAATTATAATTCAGACTCAGAGATTTCCTTTTGAATATTTATATTTTATTTTTTTTTATTAACACATTTTCTTTACTTTCTTCAATATTAATATAATAATTTTGAAGAAAGAATTTTCTTTTCTATACTTCAATAATGTATTTCTTACAAATTCTTTAATTATTATAAATATAATTTCCTTTATTTTCTTAAATAATCAAATAATAATTGATTTTTAAAAGATTTTCTTTCTCATATATAAATATTAAACTGAAATAGAAGCAACCCTGTTTATTCGTCAAGTGGAATAAACTTATTAAATTTAATGTTATTTACAAATTTTTCTCAAACCAAAATCACTCATTAAATTAAATCAATTCTTTAGAGAAGATTTTTGAAATACATTTAGTGATTTTTGTTGTTATTTAGTTAAATCTCAAACATAGAAATGAAATTAACAGGAGACATTTAAATTAAGTTTTAAGTGATTTATTTATTACTATTATTTGCATTAAAGTACCACTTAAATAATGCATAAAAAATTATGTCAATATTTCGAGGTATTTTTACAATGATATTTTATAAATATTAATTTATACTATTAATTTTATTATTATGCTTATTATTAAAATTAATTTGTACTCCTTGCAGATCTCGTGAGCGCATTAAGAACAGCGCAATGGAGTCTAATCCTAGCAACAACAACAACAACTCGAACAATGTTACCAGCAACAACAACAATAATAATAACAACAATGCTAGCAACATCAGCAACAACAACAACAACAACAATTCCAATAGCAATAACAACAACAACAACAACAATAGCATATCCCATGATGAATATCAATATTTTGCGCCCAGCGATCCAAACAATCCCAACAATCAGCAGCAACCAAACAAATCGAGCATACCAAGCGCATCGCCAGTCATCCAGCCAGTAATCCTGCCCAGCATCAGTCAGTTGCCCGTTGGATTGCAGCAGCAGGCGCAACATTTGCAGGCGCTCCAACTGCAGCCGGATGTGACGCTGACGTCGCTGCAGAAGACGACGCCCACGATTGTGTTGCCGCTCGCCGTTGCAGCCGTGCCGCCAGCGCCCGCGGCTACGTTGCCTGGCCACGTGCAGCTGTGCAGTAGTTCGCGTTCCTGCAGCAGCTCCCCCTCCATTTACATCAAGGACGAGCCGGACTCGCAGGACGAGGCGAGCAGTCGATCGGCGGTGCGCAAGTCTAGCCGCAAATTGGTCACAATTCGAGCGCAGACGAAACAGCAGTTGAAGGCGAGTCTCCAGGCCGCGCCCAAAGTGGGCGGTGGGGCGGAGCTTTATGCCACGCCGTCGCCACATCTGATTATCAATACGAACAACGAGCTAATCGATGTGGATGCTGGCGACTTGGATGATGATGACGATGACTTGGAATATGACGATGATGACGACGACGATAATGATACCGATAACGATGCCCTTAGGCGACAGGCGGCTCAATGTCCGCCCAACATCGCAGTGGATATGTTGGGCACCGCTGGTCGTCTCTCACCTGGCAGCAGTTTCACGGCAGTGGGTGGGGCCAGCGCACGTCATCAGCCGAGTCCGCGGGAGCTGCTCTATATTAAATTTGGTGACTTTCTTGCCGCACGACTGAATACACTGCACGAAACCGTTGCCAACGAGCTGATGAACAAGATTCTGCTGCTAATTGCTGAGAAGTAAGCAACTGAAGTGACTCGAAAGGATTTAATCCGTTCTACCCGTTCTTAAGCGATGGGTAAGTTAAATGCAATATTTTATTATGCACTTGAGAATGTTGGAAAATTTTTGATTTTATTTTTAAATCGTTGCAAAATATGTGGTAATTAATAATAATTTATTTTAATTAGAATATATAAATAAATTACTATCCGAAAATAAAATGAGTTAAAATATTCCACTAAGAAATCCACTTAAATTAAATTTTTTTAATGATTCTATCAATTTTTTTATTTATCTTTTCGGCCCAAATAAAGCACAGAGAACTTGTTTTACACAAAATTTATTACATTGACCAATTTGTGCGGCAGCTATTAGAATTCGTGGCAAGTAACTCCAATATATTTAAATGCATATATGCAGCATATATATTGTTTTTTTTTTTTTATTTTTTGGTTTGTTGTTGCACACATAACATGCCAAGACCATAAAAAGTTTTAATTTCCGAACGCTGAAGTGGGCCAGACGCACAGACAGAGAAGCAAAATGACACACTAACAAACACAAAAACACACACAGACACTGCCACTCTGCCACACATGCACATGCAACATATCCGACTAAACAAAGCACTGCAAGTTATCCGAAAATTTGAAAGCATTTCACGCATAAATAAAAAACACCCGAAGCCATGCAGCAAGTGCCAAGAGTACGAAACACAACACATTCGAAGCCGGACAATGACCGAGACAAAGTAAGCAAGAATGAAGGGGTTTCTTAGGCACGCCGTTGATTAAATACCCTTGTTGACAGCCAAATTTTACCATGAATTTCAAAAGGAAACTGATTGTTTCTATTAAAACTAGATGATGTAATTGATAATTGATCGAGGTTGATCATTTCGTGTCCAAATTTTGGGCATATTGGATATGTTTGGTTAGAATATCTTCTTAGACAACAATTTTTTTATACAAGAACTCATCTTACAGTCGTGTATTCCTATAGCTGCTCTATAATTTACTAGTCCGATATCGTTTATATCTGTGAGGAGCTCAACAATAGTAGTAGGTATTTTTGGATTGGAACTCGTGTTGATTCAAAATTTGTTATACCTGAACTCATTTTGCGACCAATCGTTTCTAGCAATATTATGAAGTAATTCAATCTTCTACTTCTGCAACAAGGCTGAAAGATTATATGCCAAGTTTTATCAGGATACCTTCAAAATTGATTGAATAGTTGGTATAGAAATAGGCAGACTTGCTCGGTAATGCTGATCAAGAATTTAACTACTTTATGGTGTCGGAGAAGTCTCCTTCAATGTATAACATATGTCAACACAAAGTTGAAATATCCTCTTCAAGGGTATTAAAAGAATAACATAAAGTCCAAAAGTGGCACACACATACACACAAAACAAAAAAAAAAATGGAATCAGAGCCCCATAAATTTCACCCATTGCACTTTACTGGCAGCAACGAGCTTAATTCAAAATTGGCCAACATTCAGTGAATGTGTTGCTATCAAAAGCAAAAAGCACTAAAAACTATTTCATTCTAAAATAAATAGAGATATTCATTAAAATATTTCAGCTCTCATAAGTCAATCAAAAAAATTTTATAATATTGTTTTTTACTATTTGGCAAGTGTATTTAATATATTGAATTTTTTTTTGGGAATTATAGTGTACTACGAAGTCAATTTTTATATATATATATAGCTTAATATTTACTGTGTTAAATGAGGAAAATATGTATGCAGTTTTCAAAGTAATTTGTTTTGAAACGATTTTAAAGTTGATCTAATAAAATATATAAGCCACATTTTGCCGGCTATTTTCCATCTTAAGTGTTAGGTAACTCTTTAAATTCAATTATACTTTTTTTTTACTTAAAATTTCAAAACTAAACTCAACTTGGGCAGGCCTAAATATTGTCTGCATCTTAAGTTCTATTTGCAAATTGTATCTGCTGCTGTTCGAATGACTTTGCACTAAACCACACACACTACACACACAGAAACAAGTTCAAGTTTTGGGCGTGTGTATTTACGGTTTGGTAATATTTATGCAGCAACGCTTCTGGTGCATTTGACTGTGTGTGTGTGTGTGTGTTGGTGTGTGTCCTTTAGATGCCGATGTGACTCTTCCGTCAACTATCCGCCTTCCCAATCTCCAACTTCCCCAGCTGCTCCTCTACTTCTTTCCACGCTTGTATTCATGGTAACAGCTTTACGAGCTCAGCCTGAATGCTGAGAGCACAGTGGGTGACTTTTGAGTGTGTGTGAGTGTGTGTGAGTGTATGTGTGTGTGTGTGTGTGAGTGTACATAGCCTTTTATGGATAGTTTCAGCAAGTTTGTTTGCACTTACAACATTATAAATTTGCCATAAATTATAGTTATATGAAATGCAGCGCATCGCTGATAGGGCCAACAGTGGCGAAACTTTGATTCAAAAACCAAAAGCATAAAAAAAAGCGTATAACGCTAACGAGCATAAAAGGGTATGGCGAATGCTGTTGGGGAGAGTGGAGAGGGCATGTCAAGTACCAGAAATCCCTTAGCTATAAAATAGTGCAAACAAATTAACATGAGAAGTCACTTGATTGTCCAATTAAACAATATCATCTTGGTATTTTTCCGAGTAGGTAATGAAAACAAATTAGTCGGAAAAATCAAGAATGTTAAAATACAAGAAATTTGGATTAATTATAGAAAAGAAAGAAAAAATATCATAAGAAATAATTAAAGATCATCTTTTAGCTTATTTCCAATAATTCTTAAAAAGCAACTCCTAAAGGAAAATATAAAATTTGAAGTCAGTCAAAATAGAAAATAATTTATTTAATGTGTATAAGTATTAAATAAAGAAGATACACAACTAAACTAACTAAAACTAGTTGATCATGTGATTTTTATATATTGTAGAGTAAATATTATTATACTTCTAAAGTTAAGAAAAATATACATCAGATCTATAAAATCCTTAAGAAGCTTTTAACATTTATAGCAACGTTAATTCCGATTTCTGAGTCCACTGTGCTTTATATACCAGAGTTTTTATCTCTCTCTCTCTCTTTCCCCCTCTCTCCCTCTCTCTCTCTTGCTAGCTAGTTGATTGTGCAGAAGTTACAGTAAATAAATGTAACATTTCGTGGCTCAACATTTTTTCCCAAAGATCTTCTACAATTTACTGGCTTTTGTGTCACCGAAAGGGGAAGAAAATGAAATGGAATCACAGCTGGTTACAATGTCTAAGGCGTTTGGATAAACGCGACAAAATACGGTGGCAAGTTTGAACTGGCGGCCAAGTTAGGAAATTGTTGCATAGCCAGCGGCGTTTAGCCCTTTTGCACATAAAATTGCATATGCAACTTAATGTTTACAATGGTCGTAAAAGTTTAATGGATTTTGCCACTGTTGTCTAAACAGACTCTAAGGCCAAAATGCAGGCATAAACTGTGTCTGCCCCATCAATTCCACTCACTGTCTGTCTCAACTTTTTAGCCATCATAAAAGCGCATTTATTTGATTAATATGTTGCAGTCTTTTCTTGTTTTTTTTTGTTTTTCTTTGGTATTTTTGGAAACGTTTTAAAACATTTGAAAACTTTACTGATTTTCGCCTGTGTTTGCTTTGCTTGGCTTTTGATTTCCTATTTGCAGTTTTGAACTTTTCACAGCATTTTAATTTTATGTTGATTTTTACAAAACTTTTACATTGATTTTACCAATAGCTGTGAACTATCTATGGATGCAACGTATGTGGGCTTTATCTTTGTATTTTTAAATCCTCTGCAATTTTTAAGCATATATTTATATACGAGTATATATATAAATATTTATCATAAAGCTCTGTAATAAATTGTATGTTATTTAACGTGCACATTGTTAGATTGTTAAAATGCAACCATCTGTAAAGAGTAGTAATGCAAGTTGGCTAAAATGTGGGATATGTTTGCCAAGTGGCTTTAGATATTCATTAAACCTCTTGCAATGTGGACTTTGTGTCGGTTTTTGGCCTAATCTTGAACAAATTTGTATACGTTCATTATTGAACAGGATCTTAGCATCAAATGAATTGCCTGCATGGCAGATTTGTGTGTGTGTGCAGGGAAATCAACATAATTATAATTGCATGAAGGGCAACAAAAACTTGGTTAAGCTAGATAAGACACAGAACTGCTACTTGCAGCAACTGCAGTCATGTCAACCACATGCTGCCACATATGATAATTGAATGCATGGATTGGATGGACCCGAGTCAACTAGTCAACCGATTGAGCACAAAAGGACGAGCATCAATATTGACTGGCATTAGTATGGGCATTTTATACAATAAGCAGTGAATGCCTTGGGTTTATTCATGGTGGAGAGCGCAGCACAGTACTTTAAGGACTATTGCATTTTTAATGAGCAGGAGGCGCCTGCGATTCACTTCCGTTGCTGCCATTTGCTTCCTCTGCTGCTGCATGCTGAGTGGGTTGATTGGTTGGGAAATGCTTCCGTCTGCGCTTGGGAAATTTGACAGCATACGTAAAGCAGTGGCTGGGTATCAGGTTAATTTGAGACGCAGCCATTGGGAAAAGCCAACGGAAAGGCAGCGGAAACGCACATACACACACACACACACACACACACAGATGTACACACAACACACACACAACACAGACACACACACACACACAACAAACACACACTAATGACTTACGTCTCAGTATTTGGAGACTCGTCGTCATCTTCCTCGACGCAGCATTAATGGCCGCAGGACATGTCAAAAGAATTGATGACGTGCAGCGTCTTCGACGTGCGTTGCAATCATAAAACTGGCAACAGTCTCACCATGATCACAAGAAAAAAAAATATATAAATCGACTGCCAATAAAATCGTTTTAGAAATGGATTTGTCAGCTTCTTTGCCAGCGATTAATTTAAGTTACCTGCACAAGTCGCATTGACATTGACTGAAACTGACACTGCAAGCCAACAGCTGTGTTAAGCACACAATGTTTTCTAAGCAATCAAGTAAACTGTTGAGATTTGCTTAATATTTATGATTTATTAATATGTTTTCATATTTTT